ATATTTATTATTTATGCTTACCATAATTTGTTTGCATTCGTTTCATTAATTTATTTAATAAATTTAAGAAGCCTTTTTATATATCATTTTTAAATAGATCAAAAAAACTTTTTTTTTTACAAAAATAAAAATTAATTTTTAATAATAAAATGAAGGCATTATCACATTATATATGAAGTTATTTAAATTATTTATATAAATTTACTCATTGGATAATATATTTAATATATTTTATTTTTAGAATTTTTGAACATAAAAATTAACTCGTGATCATATAGTTATTTCTAATTAGTCGATTGTTATATGTATGCATTTATAAAAAACGTTCTAAAATATTTGAAACTCAGAATTTCTTGCACATGCAGAAATTAGAGAGTGTACACTTAGCTCTAAGTCCTAAATTTAGGATCAAGCTATAGTATGCATATAGAAAGAGTATACATTTATAGAGTGTGCACTTATAGATATTACTGTATTAGTTTTTAAATTAAATATATCACTATTATTTTTATTATTTTTTTATTATTTAATAATATTTTTTAGTGATTTTTTTTATTAATATTGTCTATCTAGTTAAAAAGATATTATTTAAGAAAAGATAAATTATGTATCTTAATAAAAGTTTTAAATTGTTATAAATTTAAAAGTTCTTATTATAAAATTTTATAATAAAAAAATTTATTTTTTTTATTTAAAAAATTTTTTGTATTTATATAAAATCTAACTGAATAATAATTTAAAAAATATTTTCTTTTATAAAATGTATATATTTTTATTATTAAAGTTATATATTTATTTTTATTATAATAATATCTTAAATAATTACTTAAAAAAAATCAATAATTAAAATTTATAAATTTATACTAAAAGTTTATTATATATATAATATTTTTTATTTTTAATATGTGATAGCTTTGTATAATCTTTATTAAAAGTAAAGTAAAATTTTATAATATTACAAATTACAAAAGAGAAAGTACAAAAATTTCTATCTAGTTAATAAAACTAAATCAAAATCAATCTAACTTTACACCATTTTAGACTAAGCTATCTAAATTAAATTAGAATAAGTTTAAATATTCAATATAGGAATTTGATTGCTACTGATTTAAAAATTTGACCAGTTTGTACCATACTTATAAGAGGAGAGAAAATAATATAAAATAATAAAAGAGTGTCAGTTTGATGAGAAAGCCAATATTAATAAAATGTATTTTCCTGTTAATCAGTGATATGTTATTGAAACTTTTTAAATTGTTTGATAATTGTATATCATTCAAATCAAAATTATTTTATTTTGAAAAATGTGTAATAATAAGTAAAGAAAAGGAAGCTATTTGTCAGTGAAATGTTATTGATAAGATAATAAGTTTTGTTAAATAAAGGGAAGGGTACAATTTCTTTAATTAAGTCAATAAAGTTAAATGAGCTAATTTGATCATTCAAGAACTAAATAACTATATTAAATAATGCAGAAAAATTGTGAATGTTAAAGATTAATTTTTATTATATATATAATAATTAATTAAATTAGATAATAAATAAACTTTTAGTATAGATTTATATATATAATAACTATTTTTAATATTTTGAAAAATTTTAATTTAATTTGTAAGCCAGTTTGTGAAATACTTTAAATATAAGTATAAAATCTATATGTATTATATACATAAAGTATATTAATTTTTAGCATTTATATTATATAATATAAAATAGGTATAAATTATTATTAAAACAGATAAATTATTTAAATTTTATATATTTATTAATAAGATTGCTTATCTAAATTTTAAAGTAATTTATTAATAAATCTTATATTTAAAATAATTAAAAAAAATTTTATATAAAGCTTATTAATATTATTATATATATTATAAACATTAATTTAAAAAAAAAATAATTAAGAAGTTATTTTTTAATAATATATAATATTATAATTAACATTTAAATAAAATTTATAATATTAATATAATAATGATAAAAATTATTTAAAAATTTTGATATAGTTAAAATTTATTTTATTTGTAAATTTTAAATTAAATAAATATTTATATTTATATTTAAAATAATATTATAAATAATTAAATATAGTAAAAAATATATCTAAATTTTAATAATTAATAAATATAATATATTATAATATTACTATAGATTAAAGTTGCTAAATGAAACCTAGAGGTTTTGCAAGTTGTCTGAATAAAAAAAGTAAAATTTAGCAAAATTATATTAAAATCTTATTAAAAAATCTGTGAAAAAATAAAACTATATCAAAGCTTATAAAATGCAAAACTATATCAAAATCTTAGTAAAAAATTAGCAAAACTATAGTTTAGATGTTTTACTAAATTTAAAATGAGTTTAGATAAGCAATCTTATTATAGATGCTTGCTTAAATTTTCTTTAAATAAGTTTATTGTATTTTTTATTATATTTTTAATATAGTTTCTATAATTTCAGCTTCTATCATATCATAAAAGTTTTATTATTTTTTTATTATTATTTTAATATAATTTTATTTGAGGTTTGACTTTTATTAAAAGGTTTTTTTTTGATAGTTTATATCTATTTTTTTTTAAATTTTTATTATATAATAAAATCTTATGAAAGTTATAATTAAACTCTAATATTTTTTATATTTAAAAATCTTTAATTTTTTATTTATTTGATAATTTATAATAATTTTAATATAAATACTATAAAATTTTCTTATATAATAATATATTATTTTAAATATTTATAAAGTATTAATAATTATATTTATTCATTATTAATTTATAAACTTTAATTATAAATAAAGTTAATATTTGTATTGTATTTATATTATATTTTATATTATTAATTATATTAATAATAATATTTATTATACTTTTAATTTTATATAATAATATTAAAATTTTTTATTAAGTGTTTTTTAAAGAATTTAGAAAAAAGTGAATTTATATAAAATTTTATAATATTTTATAATTCTTGACTAATTGTATATAAAAACTATCTCAATTTGCTGAGGTTTTCTATATGAATAATAGTGTGCGTACACACAGACACACACACAAATAATTATATAAAAGCTAATTGCAAGCCAAATATAAAAATTTGCCTAAACTGTTCCTAATTGGATTTCCTGATCAAATCTTGTGGTGATCGTTAAGTTGTCATATCAGATATGCTGTTGGTACGAATGGTCCGTTTTCGTACTTAAATAAAAAGAAAGGACTAATAATATTGCTTATGTAATGAAATTTCGAATCATTTTAATGACAACTTAAATTTCTTCTGAATAATTAAGTTACAATTCAACACTTTTATTATTGTTAAATGGCCAGTTCCTACATCCAAAGTCGGTTTTTTTTTAATTTTTTTTTCGCGAATTTTACATAAAAAGGCAATATCCCTTAAATGTTGTTTAAACAAATAATCCGGTAAAAAATTCATCGAAGTCCTCTATTTTCCCTCTTTCAGATAAATCGTCAGGATTATTATCAACTGATTCTTAAGTATTAAAAAAAAATTTAATAAAGATCAAATTGTAATAAATTTTAGAATTTGAAGTTTCTTACCTAACTTTTGACTTTCGATATCTTCAGAATTACCTTCCCGCTCCTTTTTACTTCTCTCTGAAGTACTCTCACGTTTTTTCTTTTTGTCACTATTACTACTTTCATAATCTTCTCTTTTTCGCTTTTCATGTCTCGTTTCTTGTTCAATTTCTTTTTCTTCTAAATTAACTTCTTTCTCTGTTTTAATTTCTGAATGTTGTTTACTATAATTTAATTTATTAGAACATTTTGGACATAATCTAATTTTAACTAAAGCATTTTTCTTTTCTCCATCTTCCATATAAGCAAAATTAACTTCCCAAGATTTTAATTCACTTGTATTTGAACATTTTGTTGATGCACAAATGAATTGACCTTTTCCTGTTATAACTTCTTTTTCAATTCTCCATCGCAAAGCAATCTGTAAATTAAATCGAATTAATTATATAATATTATTAATATTTTTTTAAAAAAAAATTTCTTATTTACCCTTCCTTCCTTATAATATTTTAATTCAGCAATACAATATTCTCTAAATAATTTATCATAATATTTTTTTGCAACACGTTGTTCCCAACTTAACTCTTCTTCTTCTTCATCTTCCGTTCGAAGAAATCTTATTATTATTACTATATTAATTTATTTTTTTTTAAAAAAATAAACCCTTTAAATGTGCTAACTTACTTATGATTTTCTTTTAAAATGTCAAATTCTGTCTTTGTCTCTACATTTGACGGTTGACCGTTATTTCCATAAAAATTAACATAATCCCTCATAAATAATTTATGTCGAGTATACTAAGAAAATTACGCGTTATTGTTAATTAGCAAATGTTACAGGTAAAACTTCTATTAAAACTTACCGCATCCAAACCTTGTAAATTATCACGGAATATCTTCTTGCTATATTCAGACATTGTAAAAAAAAAAAAAAAAAAAAAACCAAATTAGTGGATTTTTAATACACTACACTATATATAAAGTTACTGATTATATAATAAAGTCACGTAATACGAGCAATCCACGTGATTTATAATTAGTTTTTGTTTTATATATAATTATATATAAATGATAACTTGAGTTTGTCTAAGTTCTTGTTATAAAGAATTTCTGATAATGTAATATTTTGAAGATAATTTTACTAATATTTAATGATATAAGTTAGAAAAATGAGATTCTTAAGTATTTATACAAATTTTACTATTATATTCCTTTTTTAAAAATTTTAAATATAAAATTAATTAAAATTATCAAAACTTTATATAAAAATTTCTAATCTTTAATTATAATAATATAATAATAATATTTTGATATAATAATAGTTAAGAATCTCCATTTTTTTAACTTATACTTATATAAATACTTTGTAAATAAAGAAGAATACTATTAAAAAATAATAAATTTTACTTTATATTTATATTAGTAACTGTAAAAAGATAACTCTAATATCTTTAATCTATATATATTTATTACCAAGATTAAATTATTTGATTTATTTAAGCAAAATAATAATTACTTTATATTATTATAAATAATATTGCTTATAATATTATTTTATATTTGGCAAAATAATTAAATTTTAATTTTATTAATATTTATTAAGATTTTGATATAGAAAGCATTAAAAAAATTTAATAGCTATACTTAAAATATTTGTAAAAGTTACTAATAAGTATTAAAAATAATAAAATAAAATATAATTATTTTAACAAAGAGTCTGGTAATACTAATAATCTGCATTTTTAAAATATTATATTTGATAAAAATATTGAATATTTAAATATGTAAAAAGATAAAATTAATATAAATAATTTAAAAAAAAGAAGGATTATTATTAAATAATTATAAAATTATAAAAAATCTTGAAATAAAATTAAAGAATGATTTATATTAAACTATAAATTATTATTAGAATATAATAAATAAATATGAGATAATAAATATATTATTAAATCTAAGATAAATTAAAAAATTATAATAACAAATTATTTAACTATTTCTTAAATTTAATTTAATGCTTATCTATTAAAATAGTAAAAAATAAATAAAAGAAGATTTTCAAATTTATTAGGTCTTGTAAAAAAATATCTTTATATACCTATAATATTAATATTTAGTAAAAGATTGTTTAATAATACTGATAATATAATAATAGTTAAGAGAATCTAATTATTATCTTTTACATATAAACATTTATTTTTTTTAAAAAAAATTAGAATTTAACCAATAGTATTTTTTTAAAAGATAAAAGAGTAATTTCAAAAATTAATATTTTTCCTTTTTTTTACTAATATAATATAATTAAATTTTTGATTAAAAGAATATATTTTTTTAATTTTTATGTTTTTGTTTTTAATATTAATAAAATAAATACATTTCAATAAAAAAAATAATTTATATATTATAGATATCTTTTTATTTAGATATTTAAAAAATTTGTAATAGATATTTAAATATTTATAAAATTATTTTTCTATTTCTTAATAATAAATTAAATAAATATAAATAAATAGATATCTAAATCTAATAATTATTTAAATTGATTTAAAATTATAAGTAAAATTTTTAAAATATAATTTTATATTCTTTAATTAAGAATTCAAAGAAAAAAGAAATAACTTATTTTTTTAAATATATCATATTTCCTTAATATTCAATATAATATTTAAAGATTATAAAATAATACTAATATAAGCATCATAAGGATAAACTCAAAATAAATCAGATAATTGATTATATAAAAATCACAAAAATTAAATTATAATTAAAAATATAAAAATTATAAGAAAATATTGTAATAGAAGGATATTAATTTAAAAGATCAGCTGATATAATATGATACATATAATTAAAAGTTACATTAATTGTATTATATTAAATAATAAAATAGTAAAGATAAAAGAAATAAATTAAATAAAGATTATGTAAAAAATTTATAAAATATCAGAAATTTCTTTTATATTATTATTAATCAATTTATATTATTATTATTTCATATTTAATTAATTATTATTTTAATTATTTATATTAATAAATTTAGTTAAATATGATAGCTTTAGGACTTGGTTAGAGATAAACAATTTTCTAAGATCTTTTTAATAACAATTAGAATTCAATTAATCTTTATTACAAATAAGATAAATATTAATAATTCTTATATACTAACAAATATAATTATATCAAATTCTTTATCTTTTAATAAAATTTTAATCACTTATTCTAAATATACAGTTATTTGAATTAATATTTATTTGTAAACCTTTCAAAGTTCTTTCTGAAATATTGATTTAGCTAAATCCTTTGTTAATTTTATATTAATATTAATTTTCAGTCATTAGTATTATAAAATAACAGTACTTAAGAATGTTTAAAAAGATAAGTAAAAAGTATATTTTTAACTATAATATAGAGTAGTATATAAATTAACTATATCATTTTAAAATATAAATTTAAATAGTAGAAAAAATTTAAAAAAATAATTAAAATACTAAAAAAATAATTAATATTAGATTATATTAGTATAATATAAATTATAAAGATAGGTTATATTAGGATAATTAATAATAAATATTAGATTATAAAATGAAAATTAGGTAATTAGATTATATTTGTATTATTTAAATTTCAAAATAGTAAGGAAGCTTACATATATGACGTAATAATAGATTACTATAGATCTGATCTCCTCCCCTCGAGTGAGACTATGATATCATGTGATAGTTAAATTTTTATTTTAGCTAATAATTATTAAGCATTACATTTCATATTTATAATAAATTACAATAAAGAAAAAGATACTGTTGAAGGATACTATTAAAAGATTAAGCTGCTTTTTTAAGAATTTCAAATAATTTAATTGTTATAAATTTAAAAGTTGCTAATGTTAAAAGTTAATTTGCCTTTATGATATTAATTAATGTAACTTTTGCTAGTATATGTTCACTTAACTAAAGATTTTTCAATATTTTGTACCTAAAAAATTTTAGTATCATAAATTATTTAATAAAATAGATGATTATTTATCTTGTAGCCTTCCACATTTTACTTTATTACTATCATTAAGTGGTTCATCATCATCTATATAATCAGCATTAGTTTAATTTAATAAAATAATAAACTTGAATTATAATTAATATTGTTTTCATATTGATGTTATAAATAAAAAACATTACCTTAGTATCAGTTCATAATTTCATTGTATCTTTCACAACTGACACACATGATTTATCATTAGTATTTGTTATATTTATAAATGTAATACTAATCATGTCTCTAATTATCACTTTTTGATTTCTTTATCTAAAACCTTAACATGCAGTCTTTTCTAACTACACTAAAATACAACAAGTTTTATATTTATAAAATTCCCATAAATCAATACTAGAGGTTCTGTAATGCTTTCAGTTATTAATGTATAGTAAATGCAAAAAATTCTGTTTATTTAAAAATTAGCCTATGTACAGAATGTACTAATGTGTAAAGGAGATTCAGAATAAACCTCAGAAGGAAATTGAAAATAAAATCTATGAATATTTGGTAATTTCAATTCCAATCCAAAACTTTTTGCAAACTAATTATTCACGAGCTGGCCTGTCTCAAAGTTCAAAGTCTACTCGAGTCATTCAAAAGCCAATAAAAAAGATTATTATAATTAATGCCAATCTACCTCCTAATGCTGTTGCATAAAAAAAACTATAAAAGCTATCAATACAACTAATATAAAACTTACAGAACTTTAGCATCTTTATAATTCTATTAATGATTTAGAAATTCAATGTAACCTAATAGAGCACATAGTAAGTTTCAAGAAAATTTTGCACAATGAAGATAATAAAATTAAGAAATTGAAGCGTCAGGCAAGTTATCAACGTAAAAGTAGAAAAAAAAAAGTGAAACTTTTATAAGAAAATCAAGAAATAATAAAATACAATTCACCTGTTTATTTACCTTTTTTAATTTAATATTTCAATTTATATAAATATATACATAAATGTATTGAATTCAGAGCTGCAGATAAAAAAAGAAGAAAAGAAGTTATTAAAGTTAGGACCATCCATCATCTTTAAGAAGAACTCAATTCAAAATATAACAAATATTTTTTTTTGCACTACTCTTAGTAATTACCTATTACCATCTCAGTCAAATTCTATAGTAACAAAGGTTTATTATCATTTGGCTAATATCGTAATTACGTCTGTTTCTCAAAATAAAAAAAAAAACACTTCAATGAGCATTATTGTCTTGCTTCTGTAAAAGGAGCAAAACAATTTGCTGCTTTATTTCCAACCCATTCCGTTATTATTTCTCAAGATGATAAAGCCAAAATTCCTCTTAATATCCCTGCGATTAGAAGAACTTTTCAAACAATGCAAAATTTTTGAAAACTAGTTATATTATCTAATCATGATTTTCTGATTGGAATGTAGCAAAAACTTATCTCATCGGTCTACTTACTCATTAATCTAAGTGATATAAATGACTCTTTTCATAATGGCCAACTTTCAATTTTTATACGTCCGTAATATCAAATTGGCACAAGCTCAACCTTTTATATGAGTGATCTAAATTTATTGACAAAAAACAGTTATTTTGATGGAATACTAAAAGTCAATGACCAGATCAAACCTATTTGGATTCTTTTAATCAATGGAGATCCTGATGAAAATCCACGCCACATGAAGAATATCTTTCAATATTATAGAATATTCTGTGCATTCAATCTTAATTATCTTTTCATTTGAACGTATACACCTGACCAATTAGCATACAATTCTATTGAGCATAGTATGACGACGCTCTCTTAAAAGCTAATTAGGATAATATTACCAATTGATAAATATGGTTTCCATCTTAATTCTCAAGACCAAGTGGTTAACTCAAAGCTTGCAATGAAGAATATGCATTACACTGGTAAAGC